TCCCAGCTGTGTCTCTGTTGGCGTCACATTCTGCGTATCTGGAATGAACCGTATGTACGCCCCCTCCACCTCCAGCAACTATCAAAGGTGTATCAGCTCCTCTTACAATAAATGTACCTCCACCACCTCCAGATGAATGTTTCAGCTTATTTATGCCTCCCGCTTGACCAACAAGTATCTGAATGACTTCGCCCACGTTCAAGCGGAATGTTCCAATCATTCTTGCTCCCCTTCCCCGGTACTGAGAGCTGTTTGGGTGTGAATCGTACCCTCCTGTTGCTCCTACTGCTTCTATTCTGTACTCACCAGTATACGGTACAGTCCACTGTTGAATACCACTAGACAGTTTAACTTGTCCGTCATGATCCTGATCTAAGTAGTGACTGCCCAGCGTTGTTGGACCATATCTTCCAGTGGTATTGAGATTTGTAAAAACAGCTTTGAATGCTGAGGACGTTTTGTACGACAATTATTTTTAAAAAAATTTTTTTTCAAACCGGCATAGGCATAACCAATTTCATGTTTTCCTTGTGTTTGTTTGCTAGTTTGTTTGTTTACAAGCGACCAGCGTAACGCAGAAACATGGAACTACAGATCTCTAGTTGTAAGTATTTTGGAAAAGAAAATCGACTAGAACTCTTGTGACTAAGAGGACCCACGAAAACACTGTTATTTATTCTAAGCCCTTTTTTTTCCTGAAGAGAAACAGGCTCGCTATGGGGGAGAGATTTCGGTTTAGTCTCCATACACAAATAAATGAATTGGTTTTTTTTCATACCAATCTCTGGAAACGGGCGTTTGTACTATATTTTTCAAGGAAGATACGTATGTATAAAACTTTGTACTAGTGTCTTTACGTGATGCATACATGATGATAAAGTACTCGTCTATGATCACTACAGCTCATAGTTTTAAACTAACTTTTTACCTGAATTTATCTGTATCTGGCTAAAGATTGGTATCGTGCGGCGTTTTTCAGGAAAAGAAGGAGGCATATCTGTCATACTTACTGCAATTGAATCCCGTTTTGCACTTGCAACTGTAAGACCCGTCAATATTATTGCAACTTGCATTATAGTGGCATCGATGGACATTACTCGTACACTCGTCTACATCTACAAAGTTTGAAAATAAAAGTGAGAAAAATTTTAAAATTGGACAAGTAAACTTTCTTCTCCCTCTCGTGTACAACCTAAGGTAAATGATCCACCAAACTTGCGATTAATTTTTTTTTTGAAAAGTTATGTTCTTTTCCAAAATGAGCAGCCGATCTCGGTGTCAACATTTTTTTTTCAACCATTACCTGTGCAATTTCGGCCGTCCCCCTGATAACCTTCTTTACAGCCGCAACAATAAGATCCTTCGATATTATTAGAAAAAGCTTTGGCAGGGCAGTCATGAGTATTTTCTGTACACTAACTTTTGTCGAAACGAAAAAAGTAAATTTATACTAATGAGAGCCTGTCCTGCTGCATGAAAAATCGTTAGAAGAGAAAAACAAAATATCAGTGAAACCTTTTTCACAGTTTTCTCCAGTGTAACTCTCTGGACATAGGCAGATGTATCTCTTGTCTGTAAATCCGTTGAGGCAGGTCGCATTATGAAGACAAGGGTTACTGCGACATGGATTCTAAAAGTAGACATGACGTTTATAAACATTTCATAAATTAAGAAGGTAAATATTACTTGACGATTGATATCCAAGCCGATTCTAGATGATTGTGTTCAAGAAAAGTTACCTCAGTTGTCCAATGAATAAAACCTTTTCGTGTTTCATTATCTTCACGATGTTGGATGTGGTCAGAATCACTCAATTGGCAGAGCCTGAAGCCTGTCTCGTTTGGTGGGCCGATGTTCACAGACACACAGGTGCTTTCCATCAGGCACTCAAATCTGCAGTCACCATTGAGCTCCGTGCCCATTAGCAGATACATTTCTTTGAAAACGTAACGTTGAGGAGCATATCCTTCCTCTGGTTTCTTAAATCGAAGGCTACGGCAACCAAAATCTGCAAATAATTGGATCTTTAAGGAGAAGTGTTATCGGTATTATAATGACCCTGGGAGGGGTTTGCTAACTTGTGACTCTTGGAATAATCCATTTTACTCCCAAACACACCCATAAGTTGCAAAAAGGTTAACATCAGTAAGCAGAGATTGTAGATGTACCATAAAGAGACTTCATACCAGTAAAAAAAAAACTGACCACGACTTAGTTTATTTTCAAAAGATACATGAAAATGTCTTCACCAACAACTGAAAACAAACTTTAAACATGAAAATGTTAATTATCGCTGGGATCCCCTTGACAATCTCTTGCACCAAAGTAGTTAGGGACATCGAAGCGGTCCCCATCAAACCTGTTAACAGCTGAAAGATAACTTAATTAATTTTTGTTAAAAGATCTGAGGTAATCTACTCTTTGATTGTCAAATTGTTTAAAATAGGTTGCTTTTACCATTTATTTTCACCGTTCGCTTGTCTTTCAGTTGAATGTAATATCTAACACCTGTTAATTTTGCACTACATGAGGGCTTTTCTCCTATGTCCAGTCCGGCAAAGATTTCGTGCTCTGTAAGTTACTATGTACCTGTTTGAAAACCTAGACTGACGTTTACGCGTTATGTATCAAATGTTAAAACAATATCTTCACTTGACTTAAAAAAACCGTATTTTTTGTCCTTTTGTTTTGTTTGTTTGTTTTATGTTTGTTTTTTGTTTTTTTCATACATGATATCACCTGTCTTCGCCCCACTGATCAAACAAACACTTGAAAACGTCTACATGTGTAAAGTAAGTTTGTTTTCTCTTTCCTGCAAAGTATAGCTTCAAACACCAACGTGATTGCGATTTATCTACAAGAATAGCAGGCTAAAATGAAACACTGAGCTCCGACAAGTAATAACTGAGCTCTATGTGGCTGTTTTCCTTGTACGAAAGACCAAGAACTCCTCTTTATGCAGATTTGTCTGCCCTTCAAAATAAATTTCATGACTAAAGCAAGTTTGTTTTCTCTGCCTGCAAAGTACAGCTTTTAACACCAACATGATTGCAATTTATCTACCAGAATAGCAGGCTAAGATGAAACACTAAGCTCCGACAAGTAATAACTGAGCTCCATGCAGCTGTTTGCCTTGCACCAAGGACTCACCTTCATGTAGATTTTTCTGCCCTTCAAAGTAAATCTCATACAAGCCTCGCACATCAGGGTATTTATCGAATGTTGGTAAAAAATTTATCTCAAGCATGTAGATTAAGTCTTCTTTCGCTTTGCTTTTGCCGCGTAACAAATTTGACTTGAATTTTGACTTGCGTATTCTTTGACATAATTCCACCTTTGGTGGCGAAGTTATGACGTCAATTTGAAGTTTTGAGAAGCTCGTTTGGAATTGTGATAAGGTAAGCTTACAGAGAGGGTATTTACAGTTTTTTTACAAGCTAAGGAAAAATCCAAAATTAAAGTTGATCTTAAGTGAAAGAGGAACATAAGCAACCTTAACTCTGAAAACGTCCACATTTCTAATTCAGTCTCACCAAAGCTTTATAGGTGGAGTATCATCTATTTTTTTGAAAGGTCAAGTTAGTAATTATGCTCGATATCAAACATCAAATCAGAGGTCAAATATACATTGTACGCGGAGTAAAAGATTTATCCTGATAAGGTGGAGGAAGACGTGTTTGGTCTTTACAGTAATATATCGACTGCCTTATTTCGCATAAATGGTTGACATCTGTTACGAACAAAAGTCAGTTGAGTAGGGAAATACGACAACATAGATCGAAAGACTTACCCTGTTTTCCGTCAGTAGGGAATTGCAGCCAGCCTTCCCACAAAACAAATATGAGTAGTGAAGAATAAGCCGCTAAAAATAGCATCTCCAATCTAAAAAAAAACGTTACTGACAAAGAGGTTTTCGAGTCTATCGTTCACAATCAAGCAGCCACACTCTTACTGTGATGATTACGTAATGTCTTTGATGGATTCAGCGCAAGCAGATTTCATAACTGATCGACAATTGTCCATTGTCTTTACCTCTGGGGTTGACTTAGAGGTAATTTCAATGTTTGTTTTTTTTCTTACTTCACCGGAAATTGAAATAGATTCGCAACTTTTTCTTGTCATTTTAACAATTAAATTTTTAGTCGCATTTGCTTAACCCCTTTTGACAACCTAGACACTCAGCAATCCATCATAGTTAAAAAAAAAAAAACCTCTCTCTAAAGTGAACACAAATAAATGAATTCAATTGTCGTTGACACAAGAGTGGCAACAATTACGAGCACTTTTATTTTTTTAATTAAAAAACTACTTCATTTGAATGTGGGCAGAAAAAAAAACATTTATCTTGAAATCATTTTCTCTAGAGAGGTAATCCCTGTTTCTAATTCTAAATTCGACTTTTTAACTTTTTAACCACGACATAGATTTTAAAATTACAAGCTATACAACCTGCATGAAGCATAGGCTAATCATGGCGGGTATTACTGGGTCACAAATACATACTGAGTTACATTGAGCTAAAAAATATACAATTACCATTCAGGTACAAGTTTCAAGTAAAATTAACTAATTCATGACCAGGCACAACAAGCAGAGCAAATGATAACAAGAATTAGCGTTGAAAAGAAATTTGGGCATTCAGAGAGGAGGCTATGATAACTAATGTTGTAAGCGAAGGTATGAAAACAGCTTTAAAGTACACTAATTCAAAATTTGAGAATAGGCTTTAACATGATAATCTCAGAAGACGTCAGGCTAAAAGCTATTCTTCTGTCGCTTCTTAAAACTGAACAAAAGTGTTACAGCACATAAGGGCTGTCTGTTTGACGGTTTGTTTAATATGTAAGTATCCTCGAAAAACATGATAACTAATGGTCAGCAGTAACGAATAATAATCATCAGAATAATGATGATTATGATAATGTTGAAAAGTGGAAGAAAAGCTAGTGTACATAAATTGTTCAAAGTTTTCAGTCTTTCCATAACAATCTCCTTCCTCACTAGATAAATGGTTGTACGACGTGGGTTTTTTTGCCAAATATAAACTTTTTCATTTCTTTCTGTCTAAAGCAGTAAATCAAAGGATTAACAAACGAATTTAACAGGCCAAATGTTTGCCACACTTGGTCGCTGATGGGACATTTAACATAAAGGCCTGCATTCATAACGATCAGACAGAAACCAAGTGGGAGAAGGCAGACAACAACAGCACCAACTACAAACATAGTAGTTTTAAGGGCCCTGTTCTCTGTGGAAGATCTTTCTACTTCTTCTGCAGGCAGTTGCTCTGCTTTTATCTTCTTTTGGTGGCGGCGGGTTTCGTGATACAAAATCAAATAAGCAGAGGTAACGAAAACGATACATGAATTAGTGGCAAGGCCTGTCATGGGAAGCAACACATAATACATTTTTAATGCGCTAAAAACCCCACCAAGAATTGAAATAATCCAAAATACTGACACTGTTATCTTTATGGTGTTGTGGGTCATAATGTTCGAGTAGTGCATCGTAAACTTGATCGCTACGAGCCTCTCGAAAGTAACTAACATCAGATGAAGATATGAAGCCAGTACCAAGGCAGCCATAACATCGTAATTGAAGCTCGCGACTGCCTGACTGCTGCTGATGCCAAATATTAGGGTTATCCTCCACAAGATGTAGGATGGTTGGCCGAGGAGCCCACTTAGTGCGTCAGTAACCGCTAAGCAGGCCAACAAAATGTTGCTGTTTGTTCGGAGTCGTGGTCTTGTTTTCACGGCCTGTATCACCAGCACGTTGAGAAGAACTGTAAAGGGGCAAGTGATGGTGTTGATGATAATAGAGATGACAGTACTAACCTCCACAGGAACACTTGCAATGTCGCCTTCCCCACTGGTCGAGTTTGAAACGTTTTCAGAAATAGCCCGCGAGAAATTTACCATGTCGAGTTTGAAGCCTAAAGTAAGTCAATAAAGATCAACTAATTGATATATATTACTGTTTAGGCTTTGATCTACCTCTAAAAGTAACCTGCAAATTTTGCTAACGGATTTTTAATCTTGCACGAAGACGATTGGTGAAAAGGGCGAAGGAAAGCTGATGTCTCAAGTAATTTAAGCATCTCCAAACAATGACCCCGGACTCCACATTCACAAAACAACAATACAAAAGAAAGCTTCCTTTGAATCGCTTACCGCAGACTAATAAATAGAATTTTCCCAAAGGATTTTTTATCCTGCACAAAAAACCGGTTGGAGAAAAAATAACAGAGGAAAGCTGATGTCTCAAGTAATTGAGCATCTCCAAACAATGACCCCGGACTGCAAATTCACACAACAACACGACACAATAAATAGAATTTTCCTATAGGATACTTAATCTTGCACGAAGACGGTGGGAAAAAAAAACAGAGGACAGCTGATGTATTGAGTGATTTAAGCATCTCCAGACAACGAACCCGGACTCCACATTCACACAGCAACACTACAAAAAAGCCTCTGTTGGATCGCTTACTGCCGACTAATAAATAGAATTATCCTAAAGGATTTTTAATCCTGCACAATGACGGTGAGCGAAAAAGGCCGAGGAAAACTAATGTCTTAAGTAAATCAAGCTTCTCCAAACAATTACCCCGGACTCCGCATTTACAAAACAACACTACAAAAGAAAGCTTCCATAGAATCGCTTACCGAATCGCTTACAGAATCGCAGACTAACAAATTGATTTTTTCTGAAGGATTTTTAATCCTGGGCGATGACGGTGAGCGAAAAAGGCGGAGGATAGCTAATGTCTTAAGTAAGTTAAGCACCTCTAAACCATGACCTCGGATCCCCATTCACACAACAACACCATAAAAAAAGATTTGCAATGAAAAGACAAGTTACTTTAGTTGTTTTGAATCAGATGGATTCCCTCAAGCTCGGCTCAAGAAACAAAATTAGTCTAAAAGTGACTGAAATAAGTTTTGGATTGATGTTTTTCATATTATCACTAAATGATTTTTCAAGAAACAAAATTAGTCTAAAATTGATTGAAATAAGTTTTGGATTGATGTTTTTCACATTATCACTTAATGATTTTTAGTGAGCCCAAAGTGGTTCCGGTCCTTACAGGCTTGTGGTAGTGGTTGTGATAACTTGAAGTAGCTTGCTCGACTCTTCACATATCTTGCTTTAAATTCAAGAAGTTGAAGCGTCTTTCACCGCTAAATAAATATTCCGTGATTATAAAGTTTGACAATTGTCATTTCTCGACTAAGATTTCCATTCAAGGAAAAATATCCATTGATACAACCTGAATCAAAAGTTTTTCTTTTATATGCAAATCTGAGATCGATGACACGTTACAAACTGGACAACCATGAAATATTTATTTATCAGTGGAAAGCGCAAATTTTCTTGAAGTTAGAACATGATTTATAAAAAGTGAGTGAGCTATTTAGAGTTATTGCGAATATTAAAAAAGGCTTTTCCGAGGACTGAAAACATTTAAGGTCCGAAAAAACATATTGGGTGATAAAATGAAATTATTAATCAAAAATTTATTTCACTCAGTTCCGCATTAATTTTGATTCCTGAAAAAGAATCAAAAGATAATTCTGTTTTCTATTCAAATCTTAGCCTTCGAACGGCAAGTAATTCGCTTTAGAACCAAGAAATATTCATTTAGCATTGGAAGGCACAAAACATGAAATGTTACAACATGATGTGTGGAAGCACCAGCGAGCTGTTTCAAATTATCGCGACCTCTAAAAATGGCCGCGACCATTTTGGACCCGCAAATCACATTTAGTGATGTGGGAATAATATTGATCCATAAACGATTTCAGTCACTTAAATTATTTGCATGAGGCTTTTTCATGGTCACTTTAATTATTCGAGAATTTATATCTCCCTATCTTGACGCATCAACCACGATTTTCATTACAAACATTAATTATTTGGCATCTTCCTCATCTTTGGTGTCACAGTTAATAATTTGCGTGGTGACAATATGCAAAATCCAACTTCTTTTACCTCATTTGACGCCATTTGAATCAGCTAAACAAGTGTAGAGAAGCCGGAAAATATAGATGCATGTTAAGAAGCGCACACAAAAAAAATTATGGACACTTTTGCTAATGATCCAAACGAACATGGCATCAAGGGAATGATATTTCTCTTGATACGGGGCCTCTCGGTCTTTGGTCTTTTTTTTTTTTTTTACGACTGAAAACACATCGTAATATAAAGCCTGGTGTTTATATGCGGGGCAAATCCCAGACGATCAGTGACCTCAATTTTTCCCGATCGTCCTAGATTTTGCCGACATAATCCAACAAAAATACGAAATTATAGATTTCCCCGACTGTTTGGGATGATCGGCGAAAAATAGGCATCACTTGTATTATCCTGACTCTCCCAAATTTCTGAAATATCGGCGATCATTCACGATATTATAAAACCTCAATTTCCCAGTCGGAGACGTCGCCGATACTTTTAGCTCGCTACCTTTCTCTGGTTGCTTAACCACGGTAACCCCAAGTCACAAATAACAAAAAATGGCGCGCGGAAGAATCTGGGACAAACCTTGCTAGACGTCTGTCGATCTCTCGATATATCGGCAAAATCTGGACGGTCGGTGATAAGAGAAGTCGCCGATTGTCTGGGATTTTCCTGACGTAAGTAAACGAGGCGAAATAATTGCTCGAGGCGCAGCCGAGAGCAACTTAGTTTCTTAGGTACGCTCCAAATTTTCCGAGTGCTTCATATCTTCTTGAATTCACGGCTGATGTGTAATCGGATTGTTTTATAATATTACCTACGCACTTATTTAAATTGCGGTTTTTTTTCTCAATTTAAAACTTCCGAAGAGACCAGCGCGCTATATTTCTATGAAAATCGTCTTTTGACCAAAAAAAGCTCTATTGAAATGAGCAGATTTAAAATAAATGAAAGAGAAGTGAGAGTCTTAATCAAAAGGTGCACAGACAGTCAAAATTTAAAATAAAATCGCAGACCCACTCGGCGATAAAATTTCTTATTCGATTTGCACTATGTTGCAGGGTTTACGAAATATAAACCGCGAGCCCAACGAAATCTATACGTTTAAAGCAAGGCAACAGCGACAAAGAAAATTAAATTTTGAAACAAAAGCTTTTTTAAAAGTTGCTCGCGTATAGGCGACCCAGGTAAGAGACTCACCATGTGTTAATCGTTGTTTACGAGACTACACGCACAGAAAATTACGCTGCGTTTCAGTGGAACATTCTGAAAGCTGTCGGATTTATATTAAATTCTTCTGTTTTAAAACATTTAAAGGACATATCAACACTTAAAAATGATATTTACCGAGCCAAAGAATGATCCGAAAGTGACGAAGATCGAATTTAGTCAGGAAATTCAGTTTTCATTTTCCAGACATAATTCGATTCCTATCGCGTTTGGGAATCGTAGCATTATTCCCCGATAAGCTTTTTTCGTCCCTTCTAAGGCTTAAATATCCATTGATTTCTAAATCGAATATCCTGCCATAAATCTACCGTAATTTTGAGTTCCTACAGGTATATCTCATTCGGGATGTAACAGAAAAACAATCAGGCTTGGAAATTTTAACAACAGCAAATCCAAGTCAGCCAAGAGCGTTAAACTTCACTGAATACCTTTTTAAACTATAAACTAATACCCTCTACTCGAGGCTTCGGTCGCCTAAATGTACTTTACAGTGACCAAATCTAGTTGATACTTCCAACACGAGTTTCGGATTACACTCACCTCTCTTGATCAAAAATATAACTATCATACAAAACAATAACTAAGGAGTTTGGTTTGTTGAGTGCATTACGCGAAAGAAAGGAGAACACAGACAACTTTCAAGTTTTCAGTCTCCCGTATTTTAAACGATCAAACAGAAATCAAACGGGAGACGGCAGACAACAACAGCAGCAACTACAAACATAGGGGTCATTAACACCCTGCTTTCTTTGGAACATCTTTCTTCCTCTTGTCGAGGCAGTTGCTCTGCTTTTATCTTCTTTTGGTGGCGACTTGTTTCGAGATACAAAATCACATAAGCAGAGGCAACGAAAACGATACGAGTTTTTTTAGCGGCGCTGAAAACCCCACCAAGGATGGAAGTGATCCAAAATACTGACACTGCCATCTTCATGGTGTTGTCATTTATCAGATTCCAATGTTCCATCAATACTCCTTCTACATTTTTAACAATCGGCCCTTTCTGAAAGTAATTTTGACAAAACCTCTGATCATCTCTTGCAAAAAAGAAAAATCTCTTAAAGACATACTTTTGAGGGCAAAAATTTAATTTGAAGGCAATAATGCGACGCCACCACAAAAACCTCATAAGGAGCCGTGCCGGCCTGTCTTTACCTTTATTAGCATATGACAAAATTACTATTGCGTGAATAGTGTTTTGAGCATCACCGTTCAAAAGTTATCTCCTTCAACTCCACTGATAGATATCTCGACTCCTATTTGATCGAAAATTTTTCAATTTGTTGCGGAAACATTTTCCTAGAGAACTTCTCGTGGCGAGTTTTACTTTGGTTCGCGATCAAAAAACCTTCAAAAAAAGACAACTATTTTCTAGGATAGTGCTTCAGAAAAATGCAAAAAACCAAAGCAGACGAATTCTTTAATTAATTTGACTGTAACAACATCTTTACCCTTTAGACTTAAATGATCATCAACGAAAGGAGATCTTGATTGTTAATAAAAATTCCTCTTGTCGTCTCCTTGGGAAATATAGAGAGAACGGTTTGGAGAATATGCATACTGATGTCAGGGTGTGAATGGTTAAAAGAGCAAAACAGGAACATGTTGAACAGAGATATCGAGACTGTTTCCCTGTTCAGTTATGATTTTTGTATCATTTTAATAAGATCAAAGAATTGAAAGTTTCAGATAATTTGTTGATCGCTAGGAAAGGGCAAAGACAAAAAAAAATGGCCGACCTGTAAAAGCGCTTTTGAAAAAGTTTGCCCAGTTCGTAACTAAAAATGGTAATAGTCGTAAACTTTTTCTCTCATGGCTGTAATCTTGACTATTTAATACATTGTCGAGAAGAAAGGAATTGAGAATTAAGAAAATTATCATAAAGGAAATATTATCTTGACGGATCACTACATTTTCAAGAATATCCAATTAAGAAATGTTCGGTCGTCAGTTAGGAAAAATAGTTTTCAGATCTTAATTAAGAGTGAAAAAGTTAAAAATTTCTTTATCAAGCCAATAACGATGCTTTGTCTCTGAAGTCACATGCAGGTTCTATTTTTAAGTCTGTTTTTGCCTTTCATTTGGCTCAACCAGCAGTTTTCAGCTCGGCGCAGGTACCAGGCGAAAGTGGTGCCCTATTGTGCCATATGCGTTCAGTGAGAGACTGCGCATGACCGTGTGAACCGACTGTACAATCAACCACGCGACGAATTTTATTGAAAAAACCCTTTCATCCTTTTTTTCTTAGCTTCTTCGAACAAAAAGCACACGGATCAAGGCAATGGAAGGCCTATGGCCGTTAACCTCACGTCCGACACAAAGCGATTAATCTGCCTGGCGATTTTATTGGGAATCTATCTTCTCTCCGGTGCTGTAGTCTTTCAAGTATTAGAGAACGAAAATGACAAACTGGAGATACAAGAATTAAATTCTATGAAGAAGTTCTTCCTTGAGAAGCATAACATGACACCAGATGATTTCGACTTTTTGGTGGAGAAGGTTGAAAATGCCGTGAAACACCGTTGTGGCGGCGACCCTGACCAGTGGTGTACGTCCCGATGGACATACTACGCTTCATTGTATTTTACATGGAGTGTTGTCACGACTGTCGGTAAGGTCTTTTTGCCTTTTATAATTTTCGCTCAAAAACTTGACCTTTAAAATTATAATACAATATTTAATTTTTAGACGTTTCGAGAGCATTAGCTCTCTTTATATTGTTGCTGTTGACTCCTAAATTCAACCGCCATAATTTTCTAGAGGAGAGGATTTTGAGTGGGATCACGTGGCCTTTAGCGGAATCTTAGTGGTAAACAGTGGTGGCGAAAAGAGAATAAAGGGGGGGGGGGGTAAATAGACGATTGACTGCCGATTACCAGGGGGAGGGGATCATAAAAATACTAAAGAACCTTCAGGGGATCAGGTAAATTTTATTTTGTCACAACCAAAGTTCACCACACATCCCCCCCCAACCCCCAGCCTCCCAAGCGACCAGTCCCGTGGCTCACGTTCCTTTTTTTTTATACTCCTATGGAGATAAATTCAACAGCTATTATTGATTCATAATTTTTTTATATTTTCATAGTCTGTTTGAATTTCATTATAAAGTATAAATTTTTCTTTTCAAGTTCTCATTGCTTATCTTTGATTTAAAGGTTAGCTGGAAGAGCATGATCTGTTTTTTTTTTTCCTTCGCGTATGTGTTTGTTCTGTGATTTCATCGCAACTGAACTCCTGTTAGCGTCCTCTCTTTGGAAAATGGTCGGGAAGGCAGTTAAAGTAATGAAAAAGGAGATACTTTTCTAAAGAAACTGTGGTGATGCGTTGGTGGGAGAGTATAAAACGATAATTAGTTTCTATTAACTGAGTTGATAACGTAAATTGGCCATCGTGAAGAGTTTCTTCGCTAGCATATCGAGCATTAGCCCTTCTTTAGAACGAATAGAGGAATTGTGGGTTGATGTGTATTTATTTTCAACCTTTTAAGCTAATGAAAACCCGGCTTGCTTTTTAAGCAAGAGCGTAGATCATCTTAAGCGTAAGGTATGCATATTACTTAAGAAACAATTTTTGTTGAGACTACGGCCAATTTCTTTAAAACAAAGGTTGCTAAAATTAACCTCAAGTTCTAACCTGACCCATTTCCTTTCTCTTACTATTCAACAGGCTATGGTCACTTAGCTCCCAGTACAGTTGGCGGTCGTGTTTTCTGTATGGTTTTTGCTTTATTTGGAATTCCTTTAAATCTAATGGTGTTACGTCACATTGGAGACCGCGTCAATCAACTGATAAGTTATATTCACTTCTTAGTAGAAACAAAATTGCTCAACCGGGAATCACAACCAGTTGTCACAAAAACTCTTATGTGGACGCTGCTAGCTCTCCTGATGATGCTTTTTGTTGGAGCGTTTCTTTATCTGCAGGAAGAACAATGGAACTTTCTAGAAGGAGTGTATTTCTGTTTCATCACGTTCTCGACTATCGGATTTGGGGATCTGGTGCCTAATGGAGGTAAGGAGGAGCTCAGAATAAATAGGCTTAAAAAATTGGAAAGTTGTCCTCAAATGCGTTAAATACAGAATAATAAGTGGGCGTGCTTAGGTATGGAAATTTCTCTTCGAGTGTTCAACTCAATATCTACTAGCAGCCATATATTATTTTTTTTTATAACATAGCACGCGTGCTCGCCCTATATGAGTCTTATTGAGCCGCTGTGAACAAAATCTTTATTTACGCACGCCCGTGCGTGAATAAGATGCCGTGAGCATTTTTTTTTTTAACCTGGCTTTAGAGTTTCCGTCTTGTTAAGCTGCAGTTTATCTGCTTTTCTAAATATGGAAGAAACCAGCGAAGAACTGCCCAATTTTTCTATTGGAATTGACCTTTTGGTTCTGATCTAACAGGCAACAAAAATAAAGCCGAAAAAAACTCGGGTCTTTGATTTTTAAAACATTTTTTAGTGACACTTGAGTTCATTTGCCTCTGATTTTCTCCATTTTCTACTAAAAGTTTGAGCTTTTCATTCACAGCTATTGGGTAACTGGATCAAATGCTTTCGCTCAAATCAAACTGTAAAATGTGGCGTGTTCTTGACCAGCAAATAGGGACGTTTGTTTAGTCCTTTTCGTGCGTTGTGAAGATTTTGCTCTCTTTCACAATAAAAGGTTTCTTCGCGCAAATCCTTGCTGTCGCTCTGTTATGAAAGAATTTGCTCATGCTTTTAGCTGTACGTATATCGAGTTATGGATGCACTTGGGAAGTTTGGAAAGCACTCAAAAAGCTAGAGTTGCTCTCGGCTGCGCCTCGAGCTACTCTTACGCATTTTCCGTGCTCTCCAAACCTTCCGCATGCATCCATAACTCGATATACGCACGCTAAGCATAAACATATTCGTAAATTATGTAAACAAGATAGCCCTTTACTGACAAGAGAAGTCGGCTATATTGACCCTTTTACTTCCAGAAGTGATTGAGAAGTAACTTCTCCCTACAACATCCTTACACCATCTAGCAAATAGGTAATGAGGATTCTTAAACTTATCACGCAGAAGTTTTTTTTCTTAATCCAACACCAAATTCTCCGAACTAATTTGGAAGGAAATGTGTAACAGCTAGAGGGGAGAATTAACAATCAGATCTTGGACGTAAAAGGGTCAATATGTAAGAAAAATAGGATTCGCAATACCAGAAGAAATATGCTTTCAATCACTACAAATACAAACAATAGGCGTACCTTTCAATTTACAAATTCCCAATTACTGACCTTTTCCTAACTAAAAGAAAAAATATTTTCAGGTGCACGGCCAAAATTGGCCTGTGGTAAATCTTCCAGCTGTCGTTTTTTATTCTCAGCCGCGAGAGTACGTAACCTTCGGTTTTTTCTTTTATATTTTGGTTTCCCTCCCCTTAAAGAAAATTGTTTGTGAGTGATACGAATTTTCCAGTGTTTTAGCATCAATAATCCTAGAAAACTTGGATTGAGATTGATGAAGGCTTTGCCATTCATTAACATGACAGAGTAGCGCGAAAGCAGGTGACGTGTCAACAGCTGATTGGCGATATCTAACATACGATTAAAAAAAATCGCATTTTTTCACGTATGTTGTTCCGGCTTTTCTCAAGGCTGAAAATCCTTGTACAACACTGCAGTTTATGTGATAAGTGAGTATAAATTTTCACTATGAACGCGGTCATTTTGAATCTCGCCCCGAAACCAAGCTGCTTTTGATATTTGTCAAACTTCATCTAGCAATCTCTTGAACTTTACTGAACATATCAAGGTTTACTTGACTACATCCTTTCCCTCTTTTTTTCCTGTTTTCGCATTCATCGGAGCAGCCACTGCCTTCGAAACGTACTTTGTAACTTTGCACATGAGGCCAGGTTACTGATGTTTTCAAAATGGCGTCGTCTATAGTCGAATATAATAAAATAAAATGTATTTAGGTCTTTTCTGAAGACAAGTCAACTGTTAGGTCGATTTTTTGAGGTAAAAGACGCAATAACAAGAAAAGCTTTGTGCATACTTTGAAATTGTCGGTTTAATAATCGTATAGTTTCTAGAGTATACTTTTCCTAGAACTGTATGTTGATGTAAAGGAAAAGAACTTTACAATCCCCTGACCTTTTAAAGCGACTTACATCCCAAGTAAAGATGACTTGAAATATTTTCCTGAAACTTTCTTAACAATATGGGTCCAACTTATTCTATCTTGATTGTGTACATTCAAAACGTTCGACGTGTTCCTCAGCAGAGAACATGTCAGTCCTTCCAAAATAGCGCAGGAATGTTTTTCAAGATTTTAAATCGAATGGGTAGCTCTCTTCTCGCTGAATTTGGATTGAATAAGCTTGGTGTAAATTGTGCTTGAACTACGTCGGAAAAATACATCTTCAGTCCTTCAAAATATATGTGCGTGCCTCAGTATGCATGTCAATTCCATTCACAATGAAAAAAACTACCAGTACTAATCTTACTAATATATTTTTCTCTTTAGGACAAGCTCCCTCTGATGTTGGAAGCATTATCATGGAACTGCTGCGTGCAACAGTGGTGCTTTTAGGAGTATCTATGTTTTTCTCCATTATTACGTCTGTGTTAACCGCTTCTGAAGAACTGCGTGTCAATTTTCCTGCAGGCAAACATTTGGACGATTTAGGAAAAAAATCTGAAAAGTCACTAGAAAGCGGGGAGATTGAGGTACAGGAAAAATTAAAAGATCAGGAAGAAAAAAGGATCATGAACGATGTCGAAAGCGGAAATATTAATGCCGTAAAAGATAAAAATAGCACAACAACGGGTGCTTCTTTGGCAAAATAAAAACCTATCGGCAAATATTTTGGAGCCAATTAATAACAATGGAGCATAGAGTAAAATCGATATTGAAGAGGTTCTAGAGAAGACAACAAAAACTAGATATTTCAATTTTAATAAAGCTTTAAATAATTTACCTGATGATTCTGAGGGTGGCTTTGCGCAGTTCATCTTCAACGCAGTTTACTTTCCTCATTTTGTTATTCTCCAGCTACGAGACAGGAAAATAACAATTCGCCACATAATGAATATCTCAAAGACATTATTTTGTGCCCGCGCAAACTCATTAATTAACTGAATGATGATTTCGTTTTCTGTTTTGCTTGCCCAAACACAAATTAAGTAATTTTTAGGTTAAATAAAATAAATGTATTTTTTTTCTAGCCACTCTTCAAAACGATATTCGTAATAAACTTGTATTATTGACAACATTTTAATGTATTGGATTGTGTTGCTCTAGTATGACGCTTTTAAATAGCAATGAAAGATGAATGATTGTCACTGTTGCAAAAGGATTTGACTCATTGAGCCTACATTTACGAATAAACGGGGTATTTTTTTAAAGAAACTGCGATGCTTCGTCGTTAGGGGTATTAAAAAATCGGCCTTATCAGATGAGTTGATAGAGTAAATTCGCTTCTGTAAAGAGTTTCTAAGCCTACGTTTCGAGCGTTAGCCCTTCGTCAGAATGAAAAAGAATCAGGGCCAACGCTCGAAAGTCAACTTTAGGAACTGTTTACGGAGGCCAATTTACATTTTGAAGAGACCTAATTAACTTGTGAATTTATGAATGGCTGAAAATGACAAGAAACTGAAGTTCTAAATCTATTTTGATATTCCTGTCAAAGAAATGGAAGGAATATATTAAAAGGCTTTTAAAGTAACTTGAGAAACGAGTCTGTGTTAACCGCTTCTGAAGAACCTCGTGTCACTTTCCTGCAGGCAAACACCTGGACGCCTCAAGTAAAAATTCTGACAATTCACTAGAAAGCGGGAAGATTGAGGTACAGGAAAAGTTGAAAGATCAGGATGAAAAAAGGATCATGAACAATGTTGAAAATGGAAATATTGATGTAGTTAAAGACACAAATAGCACAAAAATGGGTGCTTCTTTGCCAGAATAAAAACCTGTTGACGAACATTTTGGAGCAACAATGGTGCAAAGAGTAAAATCGATATTGAAGAGGTTCTAGAGAAAACAACAAAAACTTGATATTTCAATTTAAATGAAGCTTTAAATGGCTTTGCGCAGGGTCATCTTCAATGCAGCCTGCTGTTCTCATATTTGACGATCTCCAGCTGCCACACGGGAAGATAAAAAATTGTCACATAATAAATATCTCAAAGATATATTTTTGTACCCTCGTAAAGTCACTAACAGAAGGTGAATTTAGTTTTCTTTTTTGCTGGCCCTTACACATATCAAGTGATTTTTAGGTTATAACATAAAACGATATTCGCAATAAACTTGTGTCATTGACAACATTTTAATGCATTCGATTGTATTGCTCTAGCAAGACGCTTTTATGCAGCAATGACAGATGAACGATTTTCAACGTTGCAAAAGGATTTAACTTAATGAGCCGAATAAACGCAATGTTTTTTTTAAAAAACTGTTGTTGACTGATTTTCTTGTAAACTTATGAATGGTTAAGAATGACAAGAAAACTGAAGTTCTAAATCCATTTTTACATTTCTGTTAAAGACGAAATGTAAGGAATATATTAAAAGGCTTTTAAAGTAACTTGAGAAACGAGACGATTGCTACGAAATTGGATAATTTCTGAACAATTACGCAATCCGCCAACTTCAAAGAGCATTTAAGCTTGACGGTAGTGTCCCTTTTTCAATGTAAACGATAGACATGTACAAGCATTTTCTTCAAAGATGAAGATTCCCACTAAACTATCTCCATCTTTGCTGTACATAACAGTTCTGTGGGGAGGATGGCTTCACTGCCCTGTGGATGGAAACGGTGGTACGTATTTGATATTTAACTGTTTTCCTGTGCTCGTCCGTCTTTTATTTAGAATTCCAGTCCTTTATTTCTTCGAAATAAGCTAGAAATGTAATACTTGTGAAGAGCAAATTTCTGCATCTTTTTCAAAGTTATTTTTTCATTGACTTCTAACTAATTATATCAGTAGAAAGTACCAAGTTGAACTTTAATTAACGTCAAAATACCTGATAAGCTCTATGTGTCTTTCGCCATACAAACTTGTACTCGTCACCATTTTCGGGGTAAAATTTTTCTCTTTTCACTCATTTTCAATAAGACTGACTTTCATTTGATATTGAAGCGCTTTTCCAGCTTCAGAAAGCTATAACATATACTCTCTGTAGGTTTAGCAGCAAAAATTTCAAACAGACTGAACAATCGAAGCAATATCAAGTATTGACTAACGCAAATTTTGGATCGATAGTGGGTGCGCCTAACAAAAATTATTACTTAAGCGAGAGAAAGTTCCAAAAATTATTGTCCAGTGTTATTCTTTATAGTTTGCTTTTCAATTGGCTCTGTATTTAAGAAAACGTCGTGATCACGCATCCGTCATTTTGTAAGCTTTCACGACTATATTAGACTAAGTTGATATACAGGATGAAGAAAGTTATGAGAGTTTTAAACCCTTTCTTTATCTTATCGCTCGATTACAAAATTTGGAGAACTGGATAAAAGGGAAGTTATGCTACGCAAATAAACGCAATTGACAAAAGTTTCATGAAAAGTCTAAATTAATTACTCGCCAAAAGTGGCTTCATCTTGAAAGTTCTCAAAGTGCAAGAAACGGACTGAAAATGGTAGTGTTGTTGATATGTATCGCCCTAACAGTGATATTCTCGTTTCTAATCAGAGTGTAAGTATTTCTTTCGCTCAAATTCTGATCACATTTTTCCGTACTACACATCCAATCCCTTCCAGATTTTGGCTGCCGAAGTCTTAGGTTTAAGAGGTCAGAAGGGGAATGTGCTCCTAAACGTTACGTATTTAGAGAAATTTACTTGCCAATGGGGAAGGAGCTTATGACTCATGACTGTAGATATGAGTGCCTCATAGAGAGCAACTGTTCGTCTGTGAACATTGGCCCACCAAACGAGACAGGCTTCAGGCTCTGCCAACTGAGTACTTTTGACCACACCCAACATCGTGAAGATAAAGAAATAAGAAAAGGTTTTATTCTCTGGGCCTCTGAGGTAGGATTTTACTTTATATTACGATACAATTTTTGGTCAAGTATAGTTGCTAACAGGCATTTTTCTATCCTATCAGAATCCATGCTTCAGTAATCCTTGCCTCCATAATTCCACCTGTCTCAATGGATATACCGACAAGAGATACATTTGCCTGTGCACAGATAGTTACATGGGAGAAAACTGTGAAAAAGGTCTCACTAATATTCTTTTTTAATGTTCTGAAGGTTTTTCATCCATCTTGCGGATAAGCTCATATCAGTCTTCATTGTTTCCTTTGTTTAGATAGAAACGAGTGTATTGACAACACTCACGACTGTCATGCCAAAGCTGTTTGTAATAATACCGAGGGATCATTTACCTGTAGCTGTACAGAAGGTTATCAGGGGGACGGTCGGAATTGCACAGGTGAGATTCATAGATATTCATAGAGACATATTAATAATAATGAAACATTTTTATAGCACCATATCCAATGGCTCATGGCGCTTTACAAAGCCTTGCTTGGGACTTAGATGCCCGCATTTTAAGAATTAAGGCCAGACCACAACACTGAGAGCTATGTTCCCTACTCTCTGCGATATTTGTATAAATAATTCAACGTCCCCCATCGGCCAGTACAGAAGAGATGCAGGAGAAGGGGCCTACGGTTTTTTCGTCCTCATCCGAGAAGACTAAAATGTCAAATCACTTGCAGATATCAGAGCAAAGGTATCACATTCTCTTCAGTAATTTTAAAACCGTGATCATGAGTGTTGGTCCGGTTCGGGGCGTGAACTATCGGCCTCCCACACAGCAGTACGGCGCTCTACTAAATGATCGAACCATTTTCAGTTATTATCAGCCAACTTTGACTGAATTCCAAGTATCAAACATATTAAATGGGGAAAATGTTTCAGCTGTAATCGATAACTGGTCCTCGAACGTAAGGAGAAGACGGTCCAATGACACACCTTTTGGTCTCTTCATTCTCGCTGAGAGTGATTTTTCTGAAGACCAAAACAGTCATTGCTGATATGCATCACGGTCGATTTTGCAAAAACATTGATGGATTTTCGTTCACCGGTTCTTGTTGACTTCAAAAATTTCCTGTTTTCGTGCATTGTACCTCGTATTTCAGTTGTAACCATTGACCAACCAGTAACTAGAGGCAGTGGGATTGAATTGCGTCCGAGCCTGAAAATTTCTTAAATAGTCTACGATAGTTTTTAATTGCAACTTGTTTCTAGGATTTCTCTTTATTTGGTGTTCCTGCCCTTTTCTTGTTTACTTTCAAACTTTTTAGATGTGGACGAGTGTACCAGCCAAACCCATGGCTGTCACTATAATGCAAGTTGCAATAACACAGACGGCTCTTACACATGCAAATGCAAAACGGGATTCACTTGCGGTAAGTATAAGAAATGTTGTGTGTTTTTTTTTTTTTTTTTTTAGTTTTTTCAGAAGTTTAACTGATAACGATTTGCGTGATCCACTTGAAACAGCACCGGAGATAAACTTTGATAAAATGTGCGTTTAAAACGAATACTTAATTCAATCATTGCAGTTCAGACAGGTACTTTCTCATTCCATGTAAACTGTGACATAGGAAAATACTTATCATAAGTGCTATGTAAGCACACCAAAATGAACATTGGCACAACCTGAAATCTACGAAATCGAGGTCGTACGGATTACATTTAATGGGCTTAGGATTCTATCATGGCAATGACCAGGAACTAAATAAGACAAGTTTTCCACAGATTTCGCTAAAGTGGTTCATTACCTGATATGTCTACACAGGAAATTCACTCAAAAAATTACTTAACGATCAGTGCTCAGAAATTATATTCGTCAGGAGAAGACTCCTCCTGTTATGAGCAACGCGTATCCCATAGTTTCCCTTAACGAGGAAATAGGTATTAAGATTTTCTGCAATTGGTGCTGCCAGAATATCTGCGTGTTCCCTTAATACCCAGTTCGGGAGATCGTCCGGCCCACCGGCACGTGTGCAGCTGATTTCACGAAGTTTGAGCCCCACAGAGTGTTCATTGCCTGAAATAGGCTGATCGTCGTCCATATCCACGCGCACACAGTCAGTTAAGGGCGAGTAATCTTCCATGACGCTGACGAATGCCTTGTTGATTTTTGTTTGCAAGAGTAGACTCGTCGCATACGAGGTCGGGGTGAAGAATAGAAGTCAAGCCACGCCCTGTTGTTTTAGCATTATTAATACTAATCTTACTAAAATGTGTTCCTCTTTAGGACAAGCTCCCTCTGATGTTGGAAGCATTATTATGGAACTGCTGCGTGCCACAGTGGTGCTTTTAGGAGTATCTATGTTCTCCTTCATTATTACGTCTTAACCGCTTCTAAAGAACTTCGTGTCAACTTTCCTGAAGGCAAAAACTTGGAAGCTTTAAGGAAAGCGGGGAGATTGAGTAGGATAAGTTGAAAGATCACGAGGAAAAAAGGATCATGAACGATGTCGAAAGTGGAAATATTGATGCAGTTGAAGATACAAATAGCACAACAATGGATACTTCTTTTGCCAGAATCAAAACCTATTGTACCCTATTAGACTCACTAACTGAAGGATAATTTCGTTTTATTTTTTTGCTTGCCCAAACACAAATCAAGTGATTTTTAGGTTACATAAAATAAATGCTTTTTTTTTATATTTTAGCCACTCCTTGCAAAGATATTCGTAATAAACTTGTGTCATCAAAAACATTTTAATGCATTTGATTGTATTGCTCTGGTAAGACGCTTTTAACAGCAATGACAGATGAACAAATGTCAACGTTGCAAAAGGATTTATCTAAATGACTCTACATTTACGAATAAACGGGGTATTTTTCTAAAGAGGCTGTAGTGCTTTGTCGGTAGGGGTATTAAATGATCGGTTTTATCAGCTGAGTTGATAGTGTAAATTTGCCAATGTAAAGAGTTTCTCAGAATGAAAAAGAGTTAGGGCCAACGCTCGAAACGTCAACTTTAGGAACTGTTTACGGAGGCCAATTTACATTATCAACTTAAAATCTGACGGACGCGAAGCCGTGTTCGTTTCAGGCTCATTATCGTCAACACTGTCCTCGGAACTCCTGCTTCCCGAAGTGCTTTCGAAATCTTCACACGAATCTGCACTCGAACTATTGCAAAAATCCTTGCATCTCTCTGCCATTTTCCTCTTGTTGTATTGACGGGTAAAGTTAGAAATTAACTAAGCTCTAATCTTGATTGGGGATCGATTAATCTTAATCTCGTGGAGAGTCAAGTAAATTCAAACTAAAAATAGACTTGTCTGTAAAAAACGCCGTGGCAATAATACAGGGCAGTTGAACGCTCCAACTACTGGGCTCCTGGCCAACATGAGGAGCTCTGGCCCCGAAAAAAATTTGTAGCATGCATTCTACAGAGGCGCCATATTTCTCTCATCAATGTAAAGAATTACATTGACGCTTGCAGTCGGTAGGTGTCTATGCGGTTACTTAAACCTGTTGATAATAAGTTTAAGGTTCATCTAATAATTAATTATTCATCTGAGGAAAATAAACAAAATATCTTGGATCGGTATCACTTGGCGCGATCTCATCACGGAGGTTGAAGTCCGATCGATCGGCTGAGCTTTCTAGAGTTACGGGATCCAATCTCGACCCAAAAGCACTGGTATGTGCGAACAAAAAGTTACTGTGAAATCAGACTGAAAAAAAATTGCGGGTCGCCCGACCGGGCACTCATGTCTCTCGGTTCAGTTCTTTAGTATACAAGAAGGCAAAAATTTGTGATATGCTCTTGTCCGTTCACTGTGTTTATGACACATCTCTACAATTTACTTTGACACCAGATACGCACGCGTACTCGGATCTGAAGTTTTGTCCCACATGACTTAACAATATCTAACATTATAATCTCCAACAAAACACATGAACATTCTGAATATTAGTACCATTTCCCGAAATATCATCTCAGTTTTTCATATGCATGTTTTATCATCCTTAATATAATTGTTTCAAATATTTTCCATCCGCGAAGCGTGAATTGTTATTTTCAGGAAGTCTTCGTTTATGCAAATTTATCGCGTTTTCTTGTCGGCTTAATTTGATAATTTGTTTGCTCAGAGTTAAGCAGCTGTGGATGGTTGGCTTCATTTGTTTAGAATTAACATCTCGATGATGAAATGGTCAATGCTAGATAACTGCAATAATTAATTTGTAGGAATATAATAGCATAGTTGTATTAATCTAGTATAAATTTCTCTATAACATTGTGACGCTTTCCATCCATTTGCTACTGAAATAGCTTGTTTTAGCCTATCGCGGCAAATACAGGACAAGTATTACTGAATCCACGTGAATGGAAAAAAAATATTGAAAACATTCAATGAGTCACCAGCTATTTTACATAAAAAAAAGTTTTTGTGACGCAAAGCTCGTCTCGCCCAGTAGCATTTAAGCTTGACAGTAGAGTTTCCCTGCTTCACTGTAAACGATACACAAGTACAAGTATTTTCTTCAAGGATGAAGATTCCCTCCAAACTATCTCTATCTTTCCTCTCCATAACAGTTCTGTGGGGAGGATGGCTTCACTTCCCTGCGGATGGAAACGAGGGTAAGTCTTTGATATTTATGTGTTTTCTTTTGCTTTTCCGTCTCTTGTTTAGAATTCCAGTTCATTATTGCTTCGAAATAAGGTAGAAATGTAACACTTGTGAAAAGCAATTTCTGCATCTTTTTTGGAATAAATCTTTTTTTTACTGACTTCTAACTTAACGTATCAGTAAAAGTAACCAAGTTGAACTTTAATTTACGTAAAAATACCTGATAAGCTCTGTGTGTCTTTAGTTAAACAAGCTTGTACACGCAACCGTTTCGAGGTAAAATTTTCCTTTTCTTCCCTCTTTGTCATCAAGCCTGACTTTCATTTGATATCAGCTTTGAAGCGCTTTGCCAGCTTCAGAAAGCTATAACATATATTATCTGTAGGTTTAACAGCAAAAAAAATTCTAACAGACGGAAGAATTGAAGGAACGTCAAGTATTGACTAGCGCAAATTTTGGAGCGATATTGAAGTACTTCTTAGGAATTTCAAATTGCCATGGGTGCGCCTAACAGAAATTATTACTTAGAAAAAATTGAAAAGCTTGAGTAAGTTCCTAAAATTATGGTGCCAACCTTATTTCTTTATAGCATGCTTTTTAATTGGCTCTGCATTTAAGAAAACCTTCATGATCACACATCTGTCAAATCGTAAGCTTTCACGACTATGTTACATTGAGTTGATACACAGGATGAAGAAAGTCATGAGAGTTTTTAAACCTTTTCTCTATCTTGTCGCTCGATTACACATTTTGAGAAGTGGATTAAAATGAAGTTATGCTACAGTTTAAAGAGCCACTAACAATCAAATCTTTGTGTTACGCGTGAAAAGAAAAGACTGAATAGAAAATACGTTCTGCCTTCCAGTCGATATACGGCCGAAGCAACGTAAATTTATCGCGCGGCAAATCGAATTTAAGATGGATTTTTAACACTTGATTAACCAGTTTTCACTGAAGATGTCTAGAAATGCTTTGGAAAATATTACTTTTCTTTTAAAATAGGTGACATGAGGATTATTTTAAAATTTTATACGCAATTGACAAAAGTTTCATGAAAAATTAATCACTTGCTAAAAGTGACTGCATCTTGAAATGAAGCTCTCTCAAAGTGCAAGAACATTTCGGTCCGTTGATTATCAACTTTTCAGCGCGGATATTTTTTGAGACCAAACAATAAACAAATTTCGAGAGGAATTGTGTAAATTTTAAGAGAGAGAAAGACTTGCAACGAAGGGGAGGTTTTAGTCGCCCACCCAAGTAGGAGCCACGCACATCAGAGGTCACAGCAACAAAGACACGCCAAATAATCGCCCTTTTGGCTTAGTTGCATTAAAAAGACATATTAGGAAATTCAAAAAAGATAATTTTCGCCTTGAAGGTTATACTTTACAAGAGAATAGGAACAAACTTACTCTATTCAGGGCTCTGTATTTTGGTTGTTTGTTCAACGATGCCATAACAGGTGGTTTAGAGCTTTAGCTAAAAAAAAACCCAACAATTTTCTAGATCTTCATAAACAGATTTTAAAAAATTGCTACATAGAAAGGAATAAACTAGCCTTAGTTTTCCTATAGGTTCAAAATTGCTTAGAGAGTTTTGTTTTTTTAGAAATACTATTTTGGATACGGATGAAGTGCATACGTCTTATGTTGCACTGTGTAATAATCGTCACACGTTATAATACCTGTCGGATTTTGCATTAGCTCTTGTCGCAATTTATAATTAAATGCTGTTCCACTTTGCACCCACTTTAGTTTTGAACATTGTCGATGTTATTTCTGTGACCAATAAGTTTTTAAGGAATGGAAAATCGTGGTCGTTTTTTTAAGTTGAAACGATAAAAAAAAATTAACGAAAATATTGAAGTTCTTTCAAGTAAACACAAGACAGTGAAACGGTTGGTTCGTCATTAAACAGCTGTCAGTCATTTATGCAATCTGCACTGAATACACTACTAAACTGAATACAATACTTAAGTGCCGCTCTCGCTAAAAGCGGTCCACTCGACTTCCCGTCGGAAAAAGTTTCCTTTTACTTTTTGCCTATAAAAAGGGTTTAGGACACATGTAAACGATGCACTGGTATATTTTTTAGACCCATTAACGCCTGCATTTTGCACTTTTTTATATGCAAATTAAAGTCGAAGAGAAGGGTCTCCTATGATCACACTGATATGAAAAATATTTCAGGTGAAGTTTCCATATTTTTTCTGTGAACTAGCTGAATACACCTTGTAACTTGTAGCAAAATAGAATTCCACGAAATATATTATTGCAGTCGATAGGAGCTGAACAAAATCTGTGAAATCTCCACTTTCGCTGTCCTCACGGGCGGTCTAGCCAAAAATTATTTTCGGCTTGTGGCGACGCAAAAAAAGAGAATTGGGGAACAACTAAACTATTTTTAAGCATGTGCCCTAAACCCCGCTCTTAGCCAGAGCAGCATTTAACACATGGTCAAGAACACGTAAGCTTGACGATAGAGGTTCCCTGCTTGAGCTGCTTAACAGTTAACGATACGCATGAAACCGTCTTTCCCGCTGCGTTTTTAAGAATGAAGATTCCTACTTAACAAGCTCTATCTTTATCGACTAAAATATCGAGCTGTGTCAACTGAATTGGTCAACGCAAATTTTGGGGTGATTCTGGTTTTCTTCCTAAGAATTACAAATTGGTTGTTTACGTAGATACCAAGGCGCCTAAGAGATTGTAATTTGAATAGAAAAAAGGAAAAATGAGAAAAGAAAAGAAAATGTTGAGTTTCCAAAATGTTACGGCCCAAACGTCATTTCTTTGTAAAATTGTGTAAGCTTTTGAAACTTGTCGAGCATTGCGCTCGCTCTTCAGCTGCCAGCTCGTGAAGCGCACTGGCTGAGTTCCCGAACTTAAGAAAACCTTCATGATGGCATGCCCTACATATCACCACGCTTTCCCAAACTGCATTTCGTTCCGTTAAATATCAGCTTTTCAGCACAATAGGTCCTGAGACTAAAAGATGATGTATGTAAACAAAATTTAAGAGGAAGAACGATTTGCAACGAGGGAGAGTTTTTAGTCGCTCATTAGCATTAACAAAGACAAACATTAGGTAATCTGTTTGCTCATCAACACCAAAACAGGTGGTTTCTTCCCTTAACTAAAAATAACATAGAGGCTGAATATATTTTCATATATTTTATGTATAAGGCGACATAAGCCAACCAGAGTTTTCAAACAGGTTTAAAGCTGTTAAGATTGCAGGGCAAGTAAAAAATCTGTTATTGGCTACCGATGGATAAAATAGTTGTAGTGTGAAAATTACCTCGTAATAAAAAACACTTTATCACATAAACTGCGGTGTTATACAGGGATTTCTGGCTCCGAGAAAAGCCGTAACAACACACGTGAAAAAATATCGAATTTTTTCACGTGTATTGATATAGCCAATTAGCCGCTGACACGTCACTTGCCTTTTCCGCCACTCGGTCAGGTTGATGAATGAACGGCAAAGCCTTCACGATTCTTAATACAAGTTGTTTGTCGGAGCTTTCTCCAATTATGGCTGCTAAAATACTGAAAATCCGTATAGCAGACTGTGAGGTTCAAATTTTCTTAGAAGGGGAAAGAAACCAACATACTAAAAGAAAAACCGAAAGTTACGTATTCAGTGGCTTTGGTGTTAGCATTTCTCTCGGCTGAGAATAAAAATTGACAACTGAAAGATTTGCCACCGGCCGATTTTGGCTGTTCACCCGAAAGACGTCTTCTGTCGGTTAGGACAAAGTCACTAAATGAGAATTTTGTAAATTGAAAATTAAGACCATTGTTGTTTTGTAATAATGATTCAATGCATTTTTTCCATTTTAACAATTAGCGCCAACGCACTCTACGATTGTTATTCGGGGATTTTCGATTCATTCATTTTCATTCATTAATGAAGTCGGCTTTTCTTCTCAGGCTATTATGTTTATATGATATACAAAATAATACATGGTTGCTTGTAGATATGGAATTTTTCTTCTCGTGTTCAACTCAACATCTCACTCGTGAGCTATCGAGTTAAACACTCGAAGAGAAATTCCTTATCTACGCGCGCCCATGTATTATTCTCCACTTATTTTTAAGAAACTGAAAATTCATATTTAAGTCTAAAAATTTTCTTTTTAAAGCAATTTTGTGGTAAAATGATCTCTTGCATCAGATCTTATGCGGAGTGATAAGTTTGAAACCTAATTGATTTATTTTTTAGCTATCTTTTACGAACTATCTTAATACCAAAAGCCCTTTTAATACAAAGGCTACCATGAAGATCTAACGGCAAGCCTTTTTTTGCCCGTTATTTATTCTGTTATCGGTGGAGTCACTTTATGGGGTTTTGTGTGTGTGTGTGTGTGTGTGTGTGTGTTTAATTAACTAACGGACTGAAAATAGTAGTGCTGTTGATTTTCATTTTTTATTATTATCATTATTTTTTTAAAATTTTTATTTAATTTTTTTATTTTTTATTTATTTTATTTTTTTTGTGCTGACCCAAAGTGTTTTTAAGGTACAATACTAAATTCTGTAATGTCTGATGATTTTTCTGATCAGAGTGTAAGTATTTCTCTAGCTGAAATTCTGATGACATTTTTCCTTATGAATCCAAGTCCCTCCAGATTTTGGCTGCCGAAGTCTTAGGTTTAAGAGATCAGAAGGAGAATGTGCTCCTCAACGTTATGTATTTAAAGAAATTTACTTGCCAATGGGGAAGGAGCTCCTGACTCATGACTGTAGATATGAGTGCCTCATGGAGAGCAACTGTTTGTCTGTGAACATTGGCCCACCAAACGAGACAGGCTTCAGGCTCTGCCAACTGAGTACTTTTGACCACACCCAACATCGTGAAGATAAAGAAATACGAAAAGGTTTTATTCTCTGGGCCTCTGAGGTAGAATTTTACTTTACATTACAATACAATCGTCTGAAATCAGCTTAAATGTTTTTGGTCGAGTATAACTGCTAACAGGCATTTTTCTATCCTATCAGAATTCGTGCTCCAGTAATCCCTGTCTCCATGATTCCACCTGTCTCAATGGATATACCGACAAGAGGTACATTTGCCTGTGTCCAGATAATTACACGGGAGAAAACTGTGAAAAAGGTCTCACTAATATTCTTTTTTAATGTTATGAAGGTTCTTCATCCAGCTTGCGGACAACTTTATGTCAGTCCTCTTTGTTTTCTTTGTTTAGATAGAAACGAGTGTATTGACAACACTCATGACTGTCATGCCAAAGCTGTTTGTAATAATACCGAGGGATCATTTAGCTGTACAGAAGGTTATCAGGGGGACGGTCGGAATTGCACGGGTGAGATTCATAGATATTCACAGAGACATATTAATAATAATGAAATATTTTTATAGCACCATATCCAATGGCTCATGGTGCTTTACAAAGTATTGTTTGGGACTTTGGCCAGACTGCATTAAGCAGTTTACAATTTTTAAGAAATAAGGCCAGGCCACAACACTGAGAGCTATGTTCCCTACTCTCTGAGATAAGTGTATAAATTATTCAACGTCCTCCATCGGCCAGTACAGAAGAGATGTAGGAGAAGGGGCTCACGGTTTTTTCGTCCCCATCCGGGAAGACTAAAATGTCTGATCATTTGCAGATGTCAGAGCAAAGGTAGCACATTCTCCTCAGTAATTTTAAGACCGTGATCATGAGTGTTGGTCCGGTTCGGGGCGTGAACTCTCGACCTCTCACACGGCAGACCGGTGCTCTACAAATTGAGTTAACCATTGGCAGTTATCATCAGCCAACTTTGAATGAATTCCAAGTATTAAACATATTAAATGGGGAACATTTTTCAACTATAATCGATCACTGGTCCTCGAACGTTGGGAGAAGACGGTCCAATGACACCCCTTTTGGTCTCTTTTCAATTTTGCTGAGAGTGATTTATCTGAAGACCAAAACAGTCATTGCTGATATGCATCACGGTTCTTGTTGACTTATAAATTTCCTATTTTCGTGCATTGTACTTCGTATTTCAGTTGTAACCATTGACCAACAAGTAACTAGAGGCAGTGGGCTCAAATTGCGTCGAAGTCTGAAAATTTCTTAAATAGTCTACGATAGTTTTTTATTGCAATTTTTTCCTGGGATTTCTCTTTATTTGATGTTCCTACCCTTTTCTTGTTTACCTTCAAACTTTTAAGATGTGGACGAGTGTACCGGCCACATCCATGGCTGTCACTATAATGCAAGTTGCAATAACACAGACGGCTCTTACACATGCAAATGCAAAACGGGATTCAGTTGCGGTAAGTATAAGAAATGTTGTGTGATTTTTTTTAATAGTTTTTTTCAGAAGTTTAACTGATAACGATTTGCGTGATCTGCTTGAAACGGCGCCGGACATAAACTCTGATAAAATGTGCGTTTAAAACGAATACTTACCTCAATCATTGCAGCTCAGACAGATACTTTATCATTCGATGTAAATCGTGATAACGGGAAATACTAATCCTATGCAAGCACACCTTCCCTCTACCAAATGAACACTGAAACAACCTGAAATCTACGAAATCGAGGTCGTACGAATTACATTTAATGGGCTTAGGATTCTATCAGGGCAATGACCAGGAACTAAATAAGACGAGTTTTCCATAGATTTCGCTGAAGTGGTTCATTTCTTGATATATTTATACAGGAATCTGCCCGAAAACCCCTTAAAGGGGAAGACTCCTCCTGGGATAAGTAACCCGTACCCTAAATTTTCCTCCAAACAGTCAAAATAATTTCAAATTTCTCAGAGTAGGAAAACTTAAGATCTGAACTGCCCTTAACGAGCTTAATGTAACGTATTTGTTCTCTTAGCTGTTTGAAGTGATCATACAACCAGCTGCCAGACTAAACATAAACATTCGTGATAAAGATGAAATTGCAACTTAATTAAAAAAATGGATGCCAATTTTACATTTCCCTCTCAGCATTCAAAGCCTTGTTCTCAAATCTCAATGCCACTGGAAGATATGGTCCAACATCGCTCGGAAGTTACTACGCAGGTCAGGATCATGACGGACAAGTTGCTCTGTCCAGCGGTATTCAACAGTGGACTGTACCGTACACTGGCGATTACAGAATAGAAGCAATAGGGGCAGCTGGAGGGTTTGATCAACGGATTAACAGCTCTCAGTATCGCGGAAGAGGAGCCAGAATAATTGGAACATTCCGCTTAAACAAGGGTGAAGTCATCCAGGTACTTGTAGGTCAAGAAGGAGGAATAAACAAGAGGTCTTATTCTTCTGGAGGTGGTGGAGGTACATTTGTAGTGAGAGGAGCCAACACACCTTTGATAATAGCTGGAGGCGGAGGAGGGGTAGATGATGTATTTTCAAGACATACAGAATGTGACGCCAGCTCAAACACGACAGGGAATCCTGGGAACAGATCATGGGCAGGGGGGAGCAATGGACATGGTGCACAGACTGCTGATTCTGGACGATCAGGTAAGAATAATTTTCAATAATCTCTGGCATTTCAGCATTTTGGTAGTAATTTAAAAATTTCGTACGAAATGTTTATTCTGCCATAATCTCACGATATTCCCATTAAAAGTTTTCTAATTAATTAATATCATGATATTTCAGGTGGTGGTGGTGGCGGGTTTTACTCCAGTGGAAGAAGTGGAAATCATTTCAATGGGACCAAGGGATACGGTGGCGAGGGTGGTAAGGGATTTCTGCAGGGAGGGGTGGGTGGGGTGGGTGGGGTGGGTGGGAGATCAGAATATCCCTACATTTATGGTGGGTTTGGCGGAGGAGGTGGAGCTGAGGGATGGTGGGGAGGAGGAGGAGGAGGAGGATACTCTGGGGGAGGCAGTGGAAAAGGTTATTCAGATACCTGTGGGGGTGGTGGTAGATCCTACAATGTTGGAAACAATCAGCAGAATGAATGTTGTTACAACAACGCTGGCCATGGTCAGGTGACCATCACATTACTGTAGAAAAAACAACCGAACCACTTGCCATCCAATGCATAGGTGATTTTAACCCTTTAACTCTCAAGATCTCGTAAGTAATTCTCCTTACTGTCTGCCAAATAATTCTCATTATGTTAGCTTGGAGAATTTGATATCAGATCAATTAGTAATCCCACAATTTATATTTTTCTTTATCCTCATCACGTGTCTGCATGATATTGTATGGATATAGTAAGGAGAAATTCTGTCTTGGTCACTCATGGGAGTTAAAGGGTTAATAGAAATTAGATATGACAACAAGTTAGATAATGTTATGGGGCTTGAATACTCATCATGATTAGACTAAGAATCTTGAGGGGAAAAACAGCTCATGTTATTCTACATTACAATTAGCGACAAAGTTGTCGACACATTACGGTTGAAGATCAATTCTGGAATAGTAGACCAGTTTTATTCCTCATAGCATTTCACCCACTCGTCCACAGCACAACATTGCATTTTTTTTCTTCTGTCTGTGATGGAAAAACGGCATTTCATTGACTTTAGTGCTGTAAGATTTTGCACTTTTTTTTTTTTTATAAAATTGAGTGGGTGACGGGGTGTTGTAGTAAACCCTGTACATTAAAAAAGTATTTAATAAAACATCCTTAAAAGCGATTACGTGAATGTTATGTGTCAACTAACCTTATTGCCGAATGTAGATCCACTCAGGAGCCAATCTCGTAGTTCTTGATCCATTGTAAAATATCATGTATTCACGCAAATGCCATTGAATCATGTATTCCGTTTGATTATTTGCCATCGGAATTCGGAATTTAAAAGCTCTTAGAGGTGCGGCTCAGCATTTTAAAATGTATGCAAATACTGAGATATTTAACAATGGATAGAAGAAGAGAGTTATTTAAGGAGATAGGCTTTACCATCTGAAAAGAGGTCTCTTTTTATTAAGTTAACTGTATTTAACCCTAGATTTCGATGAATAATTGAACAGAAAAGTCAATTAAAATCACGTGTCGCCTTATACATGTATTTTATTGTTTTAGTTAAAACATATATGGTAAGCTTTTCCTGCCATTGACCAGGAAAGCATTAGATTGACTTTTCGCAGCTCTTAACCATCGTTACGACATTTATTTGTTAAATAATTTTATTATTATTATTATTATTATTGTTTTCGTTCGATCCAGTTTGTTTTTTCCTTCTTGTTTTTGCTCTTGTTTCTTATATCAGAAATACCGAAGGTTTACACAGTCAACAGACATATGGAAGATAGAGCTAAGGAGTCAGCGGTAGGCCGTTGAAATGGAAGATTCATTTTTTGATTTAGAGAGTTGAAAACATTTTGATTAGAAGTTTGACAATATTTGCATTAATTTCTTGTATTTACAACTCAAATAAGGTTTGTGTATATAAGTTATTGATTCCATGCAAGTGCGATTAACTCGATCCAAGCTTCAGTCGAGCTTTGTTCTTATAAAAGGAGATTACATAGGAATAGAAAACCTCTCGTAAAAGCAAAAACTCCGCGAACAAAGTGATATCCGGCCTGGACCCATACGAGAGAGAGAGAGGAGGGCTTGCAATATCTTTTCACGTGACCCCAAATGGCTCAATCTGTATAGAGGGCTCTTCTTAGAAAAAGAGGAAAAACTTCGGTCCTCCCCTCCCCCCCTCCCTCCCCTTCTCTACCCCGCCTAGTGCAAATACCTGGGAAGATGATCGTTCTTGGATCCATTTAACACATATGACGTAATTCACATTATATTAGTAGAAATATCGCACTTTGATTGTTTTAAAAGCCTTTAAGGTGGATACACTTCAGTTATTTTAGGTGGTAAATTAAAGCTGTTGCTGCATTTTAAGTGGTTCTAGAAATTTAGCGTCAAGCTATCAATAAAAAAAGTTCTCCAATATATTGTTTACTTGCGTGTCCGTTCCAACATATTCATTCCTTTAAAGACTATGAAAGATTGGAACACTGTACAAAATAGCCCAAGCTTTTTCCTATGCGAAAGAGAGGGAAATTTAGCTAAAACAGCTGATTAAAAATAAATGACACATGAAAATTCATCATAGAGGCAACGTCAACGACTCCCTCTCCCCCTTGTTTTAAGGTGTCGTATGCCACTACTAAAGCAATTTTCGTGCCAACTAACTTATCGCCTATTGATGATCTACATGGGAGCCATTTTTTCGGTTTTCGATCCGTTGTGAGATACTCATGCCATTTCATCTAATTGTTCCCAAAAAGGGGACTACGTCATCCGCCGCAACGATTATGGCTTTCATGAAAAATATTTTGAGTTGCAATTTAAATTGTACCACTCTGTTTAACCACTAGAGTAAGTTTTTTCGGAAGTGTCTTCGACAAGGTTTTCTTTCGGCAGATGTTTACAGCGAGAAATTCCCGGATTCCAGATGTTAAGGAAAACTTACTTATTTATACATATACATACAAGATACATTTGCGTGCTTGCTTCACGATATTCAATGAATTGGCGTTGCATACTAGCTAGACATTCTGTGTTCAGGAGGAGGATCCGGCGGCGCGGCTCTCAGCCCACCTCTTCCTTCAACTTCATGTCTTATCTTAAATTCTTCCAAAAACAGAGGGCAAGTTACTACTCAAATGGAAATATCAAAGATTCATATATATTGAAATGGCTCTTAACTGATTTAAGCTCTAGTGTAACAAAAGAAAACCGTGTTTGGGCACCCTTAATCTCTTACCCAGATCCTACCATATAACTGACGGTTAAAACCGATTGGCCATCGAAGGTCTGGGTACGAGATTTGAAAACCTCCTCGGCCAAAATTCATAGACTCTCCTTAATATTTTAACCTCAAAGAGTGACCAGAATCTAATTTCTCCCTGCAATAATAAAATGGAGGTCTTCACTAAGATCATGAGAATAAAGGAAATAATCACCAAGCCAGGAAGCTTTGTTTGTCAAACAGTCTCCTTATCAGCAGCAGTGGAAATATAAAGGGAAAGTATGGAGATTATTCATTCTGATCTTAGGATGTAAAGTGTTAAGCGTTCGTTAAGCTTGTTTTTCGTATTTAACATGAGAGTTCCGAAATCAGCTGAAGAATTATTTAATAGAATTCTCGATACGCGTTAGTTTCATGATATAAAAATTCCCGATCATCGTCTTTGTATTTCATCGAATACCCCCATTTTAAGAATTATGGCTGTCGCGTACCCAATGCAGCGGACACGGGGTGTTGTGCACTGGAGTTCGGGGAGTATCACAGTGTAGGAATCGACAACACAAGTTGATTCAACAACGTTTAATGCTGTCGTCTGACTATGGTACACATGCGGTGAAAACTAAAAAAGGGAAATTGTAATGTACAAGATCAAAAAATGGAATGAGACTGATAACAAAACCAATGAAGTCGAAGAGAAAGGAAACTAAATACAATAAGCTGAGACTTACCTCTGATCCTGTCTTTACGGGCTTAGAGAAACTGCAGCGTTACCTAACCGGAAGAATCTTGTGTAAAAAGAAACTCTGATCTATCTCCGTCGATCTCGTAACTCCAACTGACTGGATACTTAAGGGGCGTACCGCTATAAGGGTATACTTCACGTATACAATCGCAAATCGGGTTTATCAGGAATGCTAGCCAGGTAGTTCAAACTATAAACAATAGTACACTTGGAAAGTTGGGGCGTAAACTCGACAAATTTTTGCAGATACCCTCATTTTAAGAATTAGGGCCATACCACAACACTAGTACTAATATCTATCACAGTCAAGTTTGCTAAAAAAAATTGATGGATTTTCAAACTTTTTAGATGTGGACGAGTGTACCAGCCACATCCATGGCTGTCACTATAATGCAAGTTGCAATAACACAGACGGCTCTTACACATGCAAATGCAAAATGGGATTCAATTGCAGTAAGTATAAGAAATGTTGTTAGATTTTTTTTTAATAGTTTTTTTCAGAAGTTTAACTGATAACGATTTGCGTGATCCACTTGAAACGGCGCCGGACATAAACTCTGATAAAATGTGCGTTTAAAACGAATACTTACCTCAATCATTGCAGCTCAGACAGATACTTTATCATTCGATGTAAATCGTGATAACGGGAAATACTAATCCTATGCAAGCACACCTTCCCTCTACCAAATAAACACTGAAACAACCTGAAATCTACGAAATCGAGGTCGTACGAATTACATTTAATGGGCTTAGGATTCTATCAGGGCAATGACCAGGAACTAAATAAGACGAGTTTTCCATAGATTTCGCTGAAGTGGTTCATTTCTTGATATGTTTATACAGGAATCCGCCCGAAAACCCCTTAAAGGGGAAGACTCCTCCTGTGATAAGTAACCCGTACCCTAAATTTTCCTCCAAACAGTCAAAATAATTTCAAATTTCTCAGAGTAGGAAAACTTAAGATCTGAACTGCCCTTAACGAGCTTAATGTTATGTATTTGTTCTCTCAGCTGTTTAAACTGATCATAATACCAGCTGCCAGACTAAACATAAACATTCGTGATAAAGATGAAATTACAACTAAATAAAAAAAATAGATGTCAATTTTACATTTTCCTCTCAGCATTCAAAGCCGTGTTCTCAAATCTCAATGCCGCTGGAAGATATGGTCCAACATCGCTCGGAAGTTACTACGCAGGTCAGGATCATGACGGACAAGTTGCTCTGTCCAGCGGTATTCAACAGTGGACTGTGCCATACACTGGTGATTACAGAATAGAAGCAATAGGGGCAGCTGGAGGGTACGATCTACCGATTAACAGCTCTCAGTACCGCGGGAGAGGAGCAAGAATGATTGGAACATTCCACTTAAACAATGGTGAAGTCATCCTGGTACTTGTTGGTCAAGAAGGAGGAATAAGCAAATATAGGTATTCTTCTGGCGGTGGAAGAGGTACATTTGTAGTGAGAGGAGCCGACACACCTTTGATAATAGCTGGAGGCGGAGGAGGGATAGATTTTGCACAGTCAAGACATGCAGGATGTGACGCCAGCACAAATACGAATG